ATAATAACAACAAAAGCAAAAAGCAAAAAAAAGCAGAGAAACTAAAGAGTATGAGAGACATCAATTATAGCAAAAGCGAATGAGTAATTATCATTATATTACATCTCTCAATATTAGTATGGCTTTTTCCTTTGAAGTAACGCCTGAATATTTTCATTAATAAATCACGATGGTACTATGAACGGCTAAATAAGCGCACAGTTTTACACTATATTTTAAATGCGAGGTCGTTCTTGTGATAAAATTTTATCTATCTTCAAGAGTCATTTTCTATATTTTTATGAATTTCGATTAATTGCATGAATTCTATAAGTGGTAATAGACTTTTAGATGAGAATAAATATTTTAGTTTCTCTTTTTGTTATATTTAAATATGAAATACATTTTATCTAGCTTAAATAAATGGTACAGAATAGCATCAATACGAGACCAAACTAGAAACAGAATCACATCAATATTTTATTCTTCAGCAGTTTCCGTTCCAATAATATTTCTTTAATGATTATTACAAATGTCTCTTAGTTGTATATTCAGGATATGAATCAACACTAAAAAGAAATAGAAAAAATATTTTGTTTATTGTAAACCTGTCTGAATCACTGAACATCTTATTGATAGAAAAAAATCTGGAATCTTCTTTTCTGTAAGCATAAAATTTTACATTTAACGTATCTTTGTGGATGTTTATCAATCCTTTCGTGTATTTTTAGATCTGCTTGAACAAACTGATTAACAAGAATCATACCGTTCAATGACTAGACCACATCTATGTTATTGAAACGGTATACATAATGTGCACTCTCAATGATAAAAAAAAATAAAGCTTCTTAATTGCATTTTTTTCGTTCTTCAACCTGCATATAGTTGTGTATAATTTTATACTTGATAATCAACAATATTTGTGTAAACGTCTAAGGTATTATTTGTATATTCTTTACTTTCATTATGCATTCATATCAAAAATTTACCTTTATAATATTTGATAGAATGATAATACAGAAAAAAAAATATTCGATGTTATTTCTCTTTCGAGGCTCAAAGGTAAACATACACAAATGTATTATTTTCTGACTGATAAATTTAAAAAATACCCATGAAATCTATTGGCATTAATCAATGATGGTATAGTTTTGAATTCGAGTAGCAGCGTCAACGAAATTTTTAACTCAATCACTACTATGCCCAGAGGTTTTTAATTAAGAACACAAACCTCTTCATTTTTTTTTCTTTTCTTGGGTGTGGGTGTGGGTGTGGGTGGGTGTGGGTGTGGGTGTGGGTGTGGGGTGTGGGTGTGTGGGGTGTGGGTGTGGGTGTGGGTGTGGGTGTGGGTGTGGGTGTGTGGGTGTGGGTGTGGTATGGGTGTAGGTGGATGTGGGGTGTGGGTGGGGTCGGTGTGGGTGAAGTGTGGGTGTGTGGGTGGGTGTGGATGTGGATGTGGGGATTCATACGCATCTTATATGCAGCTACTCGCACACCAACCCACACGCACACCCACACCCACGTCCACGTGCACACCCACGCCCACACACACCCACACACCCACACCCGCATCTGCATTATTATGAAGTTTATAGATATGTTGCAGGCCAATCTTGAATTCTATCAATCCTAAATGGATCTGTGTTAAAAAATGTTCTGTTATTCAACTAGTTCAAAGTTGAATCGAGAATGCTGTTTACAGCAAAGCTCAAACAGACCCCTAGAACTGAGTCAGATCCAGTTTGTTTTGTGATGGACTAAAATAGGACACTGATATTTCGATGAACTCGGTGATCATTTGACGGATAAAATGCGAGTCAGACTAATGATCAACTACTTTCCGTAGAAGTGGTGATTCTGCATAAAAAGAGATATCAAGTTAAAGAATATTCTTTAACTCATCAACTGATGATTTTATTCATTGGAATAACATTGCCTTATCATAGTACATGAAAACTAATCTGAACCTGACATTTATTAGGTGACTGATTCGAGCTTTGTGATCAACTGTTTCCTCGATCTGGTGTAGGATTAGTTTAATCTATCCTCTGAGATTCGCCTTGCTCAGTCTACGATTAGTTTCACTCTTGAATCAGATTGAGTCTTAGATCGGCCTATGATATACGTTAGAGAGATAAAACAAAATATATTTTTAGAAATATTTTCTCAAATAAAGCTCTACTTTTCCGCATTGTTTCACAAGTATTAAAACAGTTTCAGTAAATTTTGTATAGCCTTGAAGATGCTCTAACTCCTCTTATAGGACGCAAACCATTCGAGTCTACATGTTCAAGACAAAGACTAGCTGATGGCGAACAAGCGAAAAATAATAACAATTATCTTTTTATTTTGTGTTGCTGAACAAAATAATTTTTTTAAACCTTAGAAATTTGACTTGCTTTTCGAAATAAACGTAAGAATCAGTCCGACTAGGCTTTTTTGGTTTATCGGGGAGATTTAAATTATTACTTAAAAGATCGTCATTTTTTTGAACACTAGACAAAACATAATAAAATCCTTACACTAGCAATTCTAGCTGAATTTGTTAAGATTATAGACTGAAAAGAATTTTTCAAGGTTTATGGAAATGATCTTAATTTCATGAAATTTTGAAATGAAAATGGAAGACAATGATGATAATGAATATGATAATAAGAAACTAGACATCGCATACAGAGGTCTTCTCGTTCATTCAATTTCTCATGTGCACTTATTATCAATATATTGGTCTTGGAAGAAACTATATATCCATTCAATCATAATCATCCTATAAACACAACGATTCAATCGAAAATGAAATATGATCGTAAATCTGTGGTTTGAAATGGAAGAATGACTTATGACGAACTACGTTATTTGTGTTTGCAAATTCTTCCCTGTATTGCTCATATGATTTAAAACAAATGTTTTTATTAAAAGATTGACATGGAAAGTTTCCACACAACTATATATGATCCGATTCTAATAAAAAAATCATCTGCGTTAAATAAAACATTTTTATATCTCGCCCTCTGCATTTAAATAATTATTTCTCCATCGAGAGTAACAAAAAAATGATATCACTTTAATTTGATTAACCTTCGATGCAAAAGTAATTGCTGATATCTTTCAATCCATGATTTTCACTCAGAAAAATCTTAGAGAATTCAATTTTTTCCGTGTTTAAAGAACAAAGCCTTAACCTTAAAAAAACATAGCAGAAAATTATATTTTTCAGAATAATTTTGTCTCACATCAGACCTATTTGTTTAGCTATAACAGGTTATGTTTTATATTATATATTATTATAGAACGTAGAAGTATTTCTATCACTCTTTCAAATAAAATATGATAAAGTATATTTTGATACACTTTATGATCGTCATGGTTCAAAAGTTTTTCATTAATTTAAAAAAAAAAACATGTAACTTAATGAATAGTTCCTAGATGCTGAATGAATTTTATTCTCTTACCTAAAACACGTCTTCTAGAATATCATGTAATTGTCTACAAATTTTAATTAATTTTAGTATCCTTTTATTTATTGTTAAAGAACTTCTGAGAAACTTTCGAAAGTATGGAAGCAGATTAATTTCTGTAAGAATGACTTTCTCATTTGTTTAGTTTTTAAGAAAATTTTTGTCGTATATTTTTTTAAATTCAGACTGTGCTGTTTCAATAGCAAAAAAAAAGAACAATTAACTTTCTGCGATGATTCTAAGTGAAGAAACACAATTAGTTAAATTAACACTTCTATTTTATCGACTAATTCTTAAATTAATAACTAAAATTAAAACAAAATCATTTTTTTCGTTTCTTTATAAGTTTCTAGTATACGTCAAATAAACCAAAGGTGATGCATGCCATTTAATAGATTAATATGAAATGAAGTAGATATAAACGCCATTAGCCCAAGTAAAAGTCACATTCTTATCCGATCACCATCAAGATGCTCTGAGAAATGTGTAGGGCATGCTAGTTGCTGAATTTAAATAAACGCAAAAAGTATGTCGTATATCGATGGACTCTAGTGTTGTTGCTAATCACAGAATGTTAGTTTTGTCCTGTCTACCGGCTCGACCAAATTCAATAACAATGACAGTATTTCACCAATATCTCCTTCAATTATCATCACTTTCATTGAAACTTCTATTCAAAAAATTTTTCATTTAATTCTCTATAAAAATATATCCAAGGACGTTCAGTAGCAAATTTATATCAGAAGCATTGCTCAAACAATACTGCGCAGCTTCGACATATGCAACTTTCTAAAGCTCTTTTCCAATAAAGCTCGAATACTTTTCTAAGATTGTAAATATGAGAAATTGTTTTCAATCATATACTGCAACTGAATAAACTATTTTTTCATATTGGCTTGCTAACGATCGAAATTACGTTTATTTTATTGATATCATCCTGCACAAAAAAAGATCAAAAATTCGATCATAGGCTTTTATGCACTGCGTTGCGGCTTTCTCCTTAAAATAAAACTAACACAAGCGGAAAAGGCTCATTTTTGTTCGACTTCGATGAATTTTTCTAAATGTCAAAAATCGTTCATATCAAATAATGATTTTTGGAAAATTCTATTAAAATAAAAAAATTATCTTTTTGTAGTTCACGTTTTCATCTAAAAAATTTTGAACTGCATCCAATATGGGTGTGGTTATATGCCTGCTCTGCTCTTACACCCACACCTCACTATGTATTCATGCAATAAAACTTTCGATACGAAGGGTTTTTTTATAAAATGTGAGATGAGAACAGGTTGAACCTTAGCAAAAAGTGAGTGTTAGTGGTGGGAGGGGAGATGAGTCATGTCCATTGAGATTAGACTCCTGTTTTCTGAGAGATTTCCGAGTAGTCCTTAAAAGCTCGGTCAAGAACGATCTTAGTGTCCGTGGTACACGAGATGTGAATGATCTGAGTCTGTTCTATTTTGGTGCGAGCTTTTAGAGTATCCAGTAGTTCTTGTTCATTCAATCACGATTTATTTGAAAGAGAAAGAGAACAATAAAATAAAATTAATCATTGTATTGAGTTCATTCGATATTAAATCGTTGTACTCGATGATTCCACTGATCAACAACATAGAGATTGCCATATCGATCGAATGATAAACCAACGGGATAACTGAATTGATTCGATTGTGTTCCGTAACCATTTCCACCAACAATGATATTTCCCTGTGTGGCTCCTTTTGGCCAACGTATGATTCGATTATTCTCATAATCAGCCACATAGACAGTGCCTAATTGATCGACAATAACTCCTAGAGGACGACTCAATTGTGTAAAACCATTTCCTTCTCCATAATCACCGGCTACGACAATGCCTTGCTTTGCACCTTCTTCCCATTTCATCACACGATGATTTTCACAATCAGACACAAACACTGAATGATCTCTATCGACGAATACGTAGTAAGGATTAGAGAGTTGATCGAGACGATTTCCTTTTCCATTCCCACCTGCAACTACTGTTCCTTTAGTATCACCAATTTTATATCGTCTCACTTCATGTTTTCCATCGTCAACGACATAGAGAGATCCATTCTCGTCCATTGTCAAACCCCAGCAAGAAAAATTTGAAATAATAGTTTCTCCACTAGTACCATTTTGACGAGGCCATCGAACTACTCTTTTATTCCCCCAATCGCTGATGATGAGACTATTTTTCTCTTTGTCGATAATCACATCTCGTGGGACATATAACTGATTCGCTCCATCCCCACTTCCATTTCCACCAGCAACCACTTGACCATTTGTTGCACCACATTTCCATTCCACAATACGGTGATTTTCCCAATCAGCGACATAAATCGTTTGATCATCATCGACATACAAACCCTGTGGGTTCTTGAGTTCATTGAATCCACTGCCCCATCCATTTCCTCCAGCTACAGTAATTCCATTCTGCATCCACTTTGCATTTGGATGAATATCAGTGAAACTTGAACGTAGTGGTACTGAAATAAAACAAAAGTATGGAGTAGAAATAAACATCGATTTCATTGAAATGAATCCTTTATTAATTTTGAACAGGGTGTGGGTGGGTGTGGATGTGGATGTGGATCTTCTATTTCTACACTTACACCCTGCAAAGATTTCATCACAAATGTAGCTGTTTTTTATTCGATGAATCGCAAAATCAATAAATACAAGAATTTCTTTTCAAATTTTTATTTTATTCTAATCATGGTTGACTCTTTGTATAAAAAAACCGAAGAACTTCTGGCGAAATCCTAGAAGAAAGTTTCTGTTTTGTTTGTCTAAATTTTCTAAAGATTTATATTGGTATTGACTTGAACTTTAGACTATAGAAACAATAGTTACTTTTGTGATAATATCTTGAAAGGAAAGTTGAAAAAGCCTACAATTCGAACATTATTTTCAAAGTACATAGTTATTACATTGATTGTTTTTTTTGTTAAATTGTTATTTTTGATAACAGACAAATTACTTAATAACATCTGTTCATAGTTTAGATTATGTACGTAGAAAAAAAATTAGAAGTAGACTTTTTTATGTCAATCAAACTAATGAAATTAATATTCAACGACATCCGGTGGTACACTCAGAAAAAAAACAGTGAATCGTGACAGGATTCTTATTAGACTCGTCAAGGATCTAGTATGGCAACAATCGAGAGAAGTAACACGTGAATAATCAATTTCAAATAAAAACAATCTATGTATCTGGTTCTTAAAAGAAAGAAAGTAAATAGGAGAAAAAGATTCAACTGGGTTATCTGATGTGATATAACGAAAAAAAAACATAGCGTACACGAGATGTCGACATGTGACACTTCACCTTACCACCTATCTATAATTATCGGAAGTTTTCATTATTGGTATCGATTAAAAAGAAAAGAAAAAAAATAAGCATTGAGAGTTGTATGAGCTTTTAATATTTGATAGTGTAAATATCTTCGACGTTAAACATATTAAGAAATCTTTTTCTTTCCAGATTCATATGGAGATATTTTTCTTCTTTGAGAAAAAGAAACGTAATTCGATATATCTCATTTTTTCCAACTACGTAATTATGTTTTCTTTAAATAATAATATCAATTGAACTGTATTCTTTTCGCAGAGCAAACACTATGTAATGTGTCGTTATTTTAATTCAACTCAATTGAATTGTATTAATCAATTTTCATTCATGTTGATGTCTCATTACAATAGAAAGAAATCACAATATCTATATAACAAGAAGAAAAAACATTTTAGTATTATTCATTTTCTACGATCAAGACATTTAAAAAATAAAATAGAAGACGATATTTAGTTGGATGGACCTATTTCTGATTCGTTCCCAGTTACGTTTCTCATTGAATCTTTCTTTCTTATTTGTTTCCAAATTCATCCTCACTTTAGATTTGTCTTTCACTTGGGGTGTAGCTATGGGTGTTCATGTATGAATATGGATTTTCTTTTCTCTGATACTACTGTACGCACAACAAAACATCTATACCCATACCCTACATGAAGTCGATCTAACAGGCACTGATAATAGCTCTAGAAAAATTACAATAGTCTTTATTGAAATATCTCAAAAGTAGGTCAATGATTTAGTAACAAGAAACTTTCTGATCAAGTCTTTCGAATTAATAATCCATGCATGGAGAAGTAAGCGACTCTTACTCTTCATCTGCTTTAATCTATCAACGTAGGTTACTCTATCGATTGCTGATAGAAGAAAATCGACTTTTTAACAATCCTACCTCGTGCTTTAGTTTTCGTGACCATGGATTTTGGTAGTGATGGTACTACTGTTACTGCTTCTGCTGGAACTTTCATGGCAGGTATCTGAAAACAAAAATGTATGACCATGTGTATTCATAAATATATAATAGATGTAAGCTCTTACTGTTGGTACAAGTTCAATCAAAGGAAATGGTGGTTGAATTTCTTTGAGTTGTATCATATACAAATCTGTACCTTGGCTAAGACATGATTCAATCTTAAATTGTCTGGCAGCTGGAAGAAGAATTTCATCTTCAGCTTGAAAATAAGAATATTCTTTGATATCTTTGCCATTATGACACTGAATCGTAAAGAAAGTTCTTGGACCTTTCGTACCCAAAAATAATTCATTCTCGAGTACTTTCATCTTCGATGTACAAGAACTAAATCCCCACCAAACGAATGTCTTTCCTTCTGAATAATTGTTTCTCATGTCCTGTTTAATTCCACGAAAAACAAACGAAACTGTTGACGGAAGCTGAGCCAATGCAGTAAGAATTAACTTGAGATAAAGAAACCAGGGCTTTAGTTTTTGTCGATTTTCGTTTCGAAGTGTCTGATTAAAGACATAATAAAGACATTCTTCTTGTGGCTCCCATTCCATCGTATAAAGCATGATTGAAGCTGCTTGATCGATTGGTAGTTTTCTTGATGAACGCTCTGTACATTTCATTTTTGCAATATAAGCCATTCGTTTGACATCGGGTACATATAAAACAATCGGCTCTACAGCCTCGTCGAGAGTAACAAGTGGCTTATTCTCATACCCTTGAATAGGCATCAACATTTGACAAGGTTCTCCAGCGATATCCGAAAAACGTTGTGTTTGCCTTTGTTCTTCATCCGTATCGATGAATTTCGTAGCCATTTTATAATTACCAATAAAAATTTTGAACAACTGTATTGATCAGATTTTTTGAATGGAAACTAAAAAAGAAACGCCTAGTATTAATTTACCAAAGTAGCATAATATCTCACAAACAGAAACATAAGTATAGTAATTATAAACATATATAATAAACTGTTTAAAGCTAAAAAAGGCAGTGATGTTGATCATTTAAACTATCACTACCAGGATTATGTTAATCAAATAGAAATCTAGTTGAATAAAGTTTAGTGAAAGTCCAAGTCATTCTCATAAGATTTAGCACACCTTTGATCATAATCCTAGGAAATTATAATCTTTTTGTACATTTACAAAGGCTCAACTTGAAAGTTAGGTAGTATTGGTGGAAACGATGTTCTCTTTCTTCATTATGATTTCAAGAAATTAAACCAAACTTATGATAGGTTAGGAAGTTGTTTCAATATATAATTATGTTTTTTAATCATGAATCAATCGATCAGAAGCTTTGACACCGTCGTGAAATCAAAATCTTTCTTTATGATTAGAGTATGTGTGTGGAGATTCATCGAGAACAATAGAAGATCCAAATGTACACCTACACTCACACTCTCACATCCTGCTATTCGTCTGTTTTCATAGTTTTCAATAGATCTTTATTGGATTTGAGTCTCGTTGATATGATCATAACCTAATATCATTTTACACATATTTTGTCGTCAATATATGATTATTATAGTTCCCTAATATTGGACTATGTTTTCTTAATAAACGCTACATATCCGTTGCTTTTTCAGCAGACCTGTTCTAAGTTGAGGATCTTGAGTTGCACCAGAAACGAAACGAACATGAGGTACGACTTCGACTAGTATAATGGAATTTTTGACATCTTAAACAGCTGCAATCATAATTAAACTCCTTCCTAGAGACAAAAAATGACACAGTTTAACATTAAACTTTGAAAACTAGTTATTAAAAATATTTTCGGATATGGTGATAGCCCAGTCGAACACTTTTCAAAATCAAGTTCAAAAGTCATATTGCGACATAATGCCTCGTCCACTATAAACCTAGTATCTCAAAAAGACAAGACAGATAAAGAAGTAAAATTGAGATATAAAATGGCTGTTGCACTTTTTATAGTCAGTAAAATACATGAGCTGTCCTCGGAAAAGAAAGAATAAGGAAGAGAAAGCGATACTTATAAATGTGAATCGCAATTTTTCTGATGTTTTCAAGTAGATGAGTTAGCAGAATCTAAGAATAACGTTAAAAAGTTAAACGACAACGAGATTTAAGCGTACAACACAGGCGAAAAAACGGAGTTTTTCTGCTAAAAACGAAAGAAATGGCAACAGTGTAGGTTTACTATAGAAATAAGAAGAATTACATATTCCATCTATGAATGTTGAATAAAAGAAAATTGCGCTCTTACAAGATTAACCAACTACGTATATATAATTAATGCAACATATAAGACTCTTATGATATCGATGCTACTCGGCACCGCACTAGATCAGATAACCATGTAAATAGATTCACAGAATACGACTATATAATGGTCCAAGGCATTCATCTATGATCTGAAGCTTTTTGCCCACGCTGCAAAGCATCTCAATTTGTATCGTAATTTTAGCGGTAACCGTTCTAGATGCTGAATGACTGAAACTTTTCATCTTCATGTTTCCAGATTGATGGGCATCGCCAGATATTTTTAATGTCTGTCTTTCGTAATGCAGTCAATCGTCAAACTGGGTCCTATAGATATGGCTACATCTAAATTTAGCTTGGAGACAGCGCTGTTAATATCAAAACTTTTGTTATATTTTGTTGATAGCTCAATGTTCGTCTTTTAACTAAGTCAACATGATAGTATAGTATTGCCAAAAAAGAAGGTAAACTAAATATGTAATATTGAGAAATCGTCCATGAATTGAGTTTAATTAAAGTTATAAATAAAATTGATCGAGAGACAGCAAAGTGAATCAAGGTAACTAAAAAAACACTTACAAAATCGATCATCAAGATCAATTTCACATCTATTTAAATCGTCTCTTATTGTGCTAAATAGATTGGCATTATGTGTGTATTATTTAATAAGCTTGTATCTACTTTTAGCATTATTCAGATACGTTACTCACCACAATAAACTCAATAAAAGCCAATATATTAGAAGAATTTGAGGTGGACTTGTTGTTGATGTGTCTTGGTTGTGATTATGCTATACCGTTTACTCGTTTTTACAAATGATTCTTTTTTATATTTACAGTAAGGCACCTTTACACGTTTCTTTCTCTTTAGTCATGTGATTGATTTTTTTTCTTTTTTTTTCTTTAATTTTTTGTTACACAAGATGTACACGTTGTGCATGAAACGATTTGCTTGAGTGATTTGTGCACAGTGAATATTGCATGCAAAATTACATCGAAACATATTCATCCTTGAAAAAAATATCGAGAAGCAAAAGGTGGTAGAAAAAAAATCAAATTACTTTTTTAGTTTGACGAACGTAATATATTATACTCATGTACACATAAATAAAAAGTTTCCATTGTTTTTTTTGAAAAATAATATAGTTTAATGATATTAACAAATCCAAGAGATTGAATGCTTAATAATAACAGTATAAAGATTAATTTATATGATAATAACGGATGACAGAATTTAGGGTATGGGTATGAGTGCTGGTGTAGATGTGAGCGAGGATGTGTGTGAATGAAGAGAAGACTGACATATACACCACATTCAATATTAGCCTAATATAACTAAATTCATCATAAAATTAACAATTTATTTTTATTGAGAAGAAACAAAATTAACTAGACATTCAATTGATTGATATCAGTTTTTTAGTTTAAAATAAAAAAAAAGATAGACACTTTCTATATCTTATCATTATGTTGATGAATGACAATCATGCTGTAAGTCATATGGTCCCTTTTTATTCCTTTACGATCATTATTTATATTGAACTAGTATTTCATTGTTAATTCAGAAAAATAAAGTTGAAAGATTGGCGTATGATTCTCAATGAATTTTTGTTCTATTATTAAAAATGAAGCTGTTAATAGTCATTTGTTCTTTCGTAAATTCAATGAACAGAACTTTCGCCTAGATGATATCTATTTTAGTCAGATTCCATGAATCCAGTGAAGTGTTTTAATAATGAATATTTTAAATGTTTAGTTATAATAAAATAATATGGAATAATTTTAAAATTTGATAAATTTAATATGTATATCCGAAAATATCAACTTTGTTATATGTAATGTGATATAGAAACGAAGACTTCAAGGTTTATAGAAAAATATTAATTAGTAAAAGTCATTTTATATCTTAAGAAATTTAGTTAATTGGTTGTATTGTTTGTAATAGTGTTATTGCTTTCTTAAAGGTCGACTTATTATGTTATAAGCATTTATATCAACCGTACAAATAATAACAAAATATGGAAAAATCTTAGAATTACATGTAAAATTTATTAAATACAATAAAATTTCTTATTAAACCTTGACTAATGATGAGTTTATTCTCATATCATTTTTTCAATATGAAGAAAAAAATTTTCATATTCTTTTATTTTGTATCTCGTTTGATTGTATATGTGAAAATGAACAAATTTTTAGTTTCATAGGGAATATACATTACGGATAGAACGTTCGTATAATTTTAGTATTCTTTTTATTGTTTTGTTATCCATCCCAACTTCAGTCGTTCACTTATACACTGTTTGCTTCAAATAATTAGATAATTATAATAATATCAATTTGCTAACTTTGTTGTCTCTTGATCATATTCACCATCACGAGAGTCTTTCTTAAGGTTTTGGCCGTTGATATAAAAATAATCAGGAACGCTCTAATTGAAAATTTGTATATATCGCAGTGCGTAAAACTGATCATACACTTCTGTCTCCTGTTTTCCCATTTAAAATAGTTTAAAAAAATATCTTCTCGTTCAAAAGAACGAAATGCCAAAGTATTTATTGTTCTATGCCATTATATTCTTAGCGACTGTACAAAGATATTGTTCAATTTTTCAAGTCTTTTTCTTAATTGTATTTTCGGTCTTAGTCGAAAGAAAAAATTTTTATTGATAAAGATTAGAAATCATAAACGAGCGAAGACGAAATGAGATTCTCTTTGTCTAAACCATAGCTTCATCACTTAAATCAAAAGATATTTAAATCTTTTAGCCCCATTAAATGAATAAGAAGCATCAATTTGTTAATGATCTTGTGATATTTAAGATGATAGAATTTATCAATAACAAATGCTTAATTCTAATACTGAAGGGTGTGGGGTGTGTGGGTGGATGTGGATATGAGTGTATGGATATCTTCGACCACACCCACACACGAGACAGTTGTTAAAAGATTTGATAAGCTGAACGAACTAGAAAGAAATTTTTACATTAATACTAATAGGAGATGTTGTTTCGAATATCAGACATGATCATTACGCAAATTTTACTTCTCTAGGTTTCTGTCCTGAATGATCTCGTCTTTCTTTACTGAAGTTCATACTACTTTATTTATTAAAGTTTTTCTACTTAATAGATTGCTTACATATACTATGTAGGGGCTACTCCTGGTTCGTCCCCACCCTCGTCCTCAGTTTACTCGTCTTTCCTTAATTGTTTCCGATTTCATCTCCTGCTTATTTTTACTCTCGTGAACACCTTCCGAATTCGTCCCCTGATTAAATTAACGCCTCATTTTGGATGTGGGTGTATTTAGAGAGAAGACCCACACCCACACCCTTCTGCTTCTGATAAGTTGAATTGGATCATATTAAAGATATCTTAGACATCTGAATATCCTCGGGACTGAGGTGAAACGCGCTACGGTAGTCTATTCACCAATTGAATTTTCTACACTAAATTTTCTACTTGGAAGCAAGACGTGTTTTGAAATGATCTGCATTACTTTCGAGTAACCATTCCGGTTCGACTACTGTTACATCTCTAGAAGATTTGAAAAATCTCGAAATAAAAAATTTTTTTTCTTTTTCCTACCGAATGAAACGTTTGCTTGTTTGAATTAATTCAGTGAAAATCACTAACGATGGTTTCGTAGCGAATAATACCGAACTCGGATGAATTTTAACAATATGATGATCGTTTATTGTTCGATAGTTATTCTCTTTGTAATATTCGGCAACATTCATAAATAGACCATGAGCAAGTGCTTATCTGGATCGAATAGAATATGATGAAAGAAGATTGGCTTCGGTTTTTTATTTTTGTGTACCTGAGAATTGTGTATTTTGTTCCACATGATTTTATATTCATTTTTAATTCAATGCAAATTCGACGGAGTTGCTTGCGAATTTCACATGCACGAATTAAATTACGACGATTTATTTTATTCATTTGACACCATTCCTATGGAGTTATTGTAATTGAATTGTTGGGAATAAATAAAGAAAAAATGATTCACATTCGATTTTTTATTGGCAACAAACGTCTTATAAACATTCAATAATGTCAAATGATCGCCTGCGTTCATTGTAAATTTCTGACGTTGAAGTTGGATCTTATCATTAGCATTTGATGATGAGAGAAATACTGTTTCTACACTCATCAAGCTGACCAATTTGAGTATTTCTTCCAAGTAACCCATATCTGATGCGGCTAGAATACATCGTGAAAGTCTAAATGAGAAAAATATTAAATTGATTGCATTTTTCATTCAGATTTCGTACTTCGGATCCAATGGAAAACAGGCCATTTTACATCCATCATCCGTCAATTCCACGATGTTATCATCGGTATTAGTCGGTTGAATTGCTTGAAGATAGCTCAATTCACATAAAGCAGTCGAGATGGATTTTTCGTCTGGTTTCGAGAGAAAATCGAATGTAGCGATATTCGATATACGCATGGATAATATTTGCAAAGCGGCACTGGCCAAATTGCATCGGAGTAATTCTGGGATGGGTGTAGCTGGTAATTGTTCGAATTCTTCTTCTACAAAACGATTTTTCTTTATTGTTAAAAAAAACAGAAATAGTTGATTTCAAACCTGTATACATTCGATAACATATTCCTCGACGTTCTCGCCCTGTTCATTGCCAAGCTTGAGCTTAAGAAATTTGTTGTACTTGTAAAATTTCTAAACCTGTTTGTGCATTAAATATTTTTGTTTTAATACGTCCACAATCGATCACATGACAAATGCCTGGTATCGTAATAGATGTTTCTCGAATGTTCGTTGACACGATGACTTTGCATATATCTAAACAAACATGACGCACGATAAAACAAAAGAACAAAACATATCAAAGGTTGTCATTCGCATTGTCGAACGAAGGTAGATAACAACACAGCTCTATTCATGGTCTCGTCCACGTGCATCTCATGTCTGTTTGCCACGGGCATATTTGTCTCGCTTATTCTAGCAATTGCGGGTGTTTTTGGAATTATTTTCGGTCCAAAAGTTATTCAAAATCAAGTCGTGAAACAATTACCACTCAGTGCTGACTCGGATAAACTCGACTCGTGGATTAATCAACCGGTGCCGACCTATATTCAATTTTGGCTATGGGAATGTGTCAATCCGGACGATGTTGTACAACAGGGAAGAAAACCAATGGTTGTTCAACGTGGTCCATTTACTTATATAGAAAATAAAACAAAAACCGATGTTTTTTTTAATCCAAATTTAACAGTTAGCTTTCGTCAACCGACTTCTTATACATTTGTTCGACATATGTCTGCAGATGATGACAGTTTACCAGTAGTCATGATCAATACACCAATAATAACGATTTTAAATATTGCACGAAATCTATCAAAACCTACTATCTATGAAGATATTGTCAATCTTATTGCTAAAGTATTTAATGAAACTTTATTTGTAAAACGTACAGCGAATGAATGGATTTGGGGTTATGAAGAACCTTTATTTAAAGCAGTCAAGAAAATACCAATTGTTGGACCATTAATTCCCGATGATCATTTCGGTTATTTCTACGGAAGAAATGCCACCGATGGTGGATTGTACACGGTTTTTACAGGTACAGAATAGCTCAAAAAAATAGAAAATTTCATTTGCGGGCTCTTTTTTTCTAGGTGAAAATGACATAAATCGATTAAATTATATCAACAAATGGAATGGTGGTTCATATTTAACCTATTGGAATTCAACCCAATCGAATCAAATCAATGGTACAGATGGTAGTTGGTTTCCTCCATTATCGACCAATAAACTTCAATCGGAACGTTTGTATGTATTTTCCACAGACGTTTGTCGTTCAATTTATCTAACATTCGACAGTCATTCATCAGTATTAAACATTCCGACGGAAACATTTTCGATTCCAGCCGAAGTTTTAAATAATGCAACACTCAATCCGGAAAATGCCGGTTTCGGTAATCTCGATTCCGGTGTACTCAATGTTAGTACATGTCAACAAGGCGCACCAATTATTCTTTCATTCCCACATTTTCTCTATGCTGCTGAACATTATCAAGCACATATCGATGGATTAGCACCGGACGCGGATGCTCATCGAACTGTACTTCAAATCGAACCTCATACTGGATTCGTTTTTAATGCTCAAGAACGAATACAAATCAATGTCTATATTGAACATGATCCATTATTTGATGGTCTCAAAAATGTGCCTACATTAATCATGCCAGCTGTTTGGATAAATGAATCGACAGTAATCGATCAGAAAACAGCCGATGATTTTAAATCTGAAGTTCTTCGAATATTTACAATTATTCGATGGTTATCAATTGGTTTAGCTATATTCGGTACTATTGCTCTATTTACTGTACTTCTGTTTTTAACTAAACGACAACGTCAACAAAAACCACGTTTATTATATGCCGGACTTAACAATGAACCAGTTTCGAAACATGATGAAGTGAATTGATTTTCTTCTTTTTCTTTATAATAAACATTTCTTTTTTTTACCTGAAGGTGTTTGTTTGAAGACAAGCATTTGTTTGACAGTAGTCATATTTGGGTGTGGGATGTGGATATGGTCCACAACCACACCCTCGTGTATATTTCGAGATTATTTCGAAGTACGGGTGTCCCAGGAAAAATGGGCCTCTCAGTCTTTTTAAGATTTCTCCTCTATTATCCATATGATCAAAGCTCTTTTTATTATCAAAAGATAGCGCTTGAAATTTTCTACAAAACTATATATCAATAGGCCCAAAAATAGTTTAAGGTATATTTGAAAAAAGACAAAAACTAAAGACACATAAACAGCTATAAAAACTAAATATGGGGTGGGGTGTGGTGTGCGTGTGCGTGTGGGTGTCCATGCGTCATTCGTTAGAGACAACCACCCACATCCATCCACACCCACCACCACATCCACTCATACACTCACACCGACACCCTATTCTATATTATCTAGATAAAAGTTTTTCAGACAAGAGAAAAAGTTAAAGAAAGAACACAAGAAAAAAAAATAATAGCCAAAATAAAATGCAGAAAAAAAAAAGAAACAGATTGTAAATGTAGTAAAAATTTACATCTTCTTCTTTTTCTTCTCATAAATGATGTACATCTAAAAATAAATATAATTTATTAAATTTTTTTAAAATTTATATTCAAGTTCCATCTTATCCGAATTTGAAATATCGTTTACCAACAACATCTGAATTAGCTGAACAAGAACAGGCATTATTAAGTATAACTATAAAAGAAGGTCTTAATTCTGTACCAACAACACAAAAAGAAAAAAACAATTCTACTATACTTTTATCACCAAGTCTATTATTTTACATTGTTGTTGTTACGTTTTTTATTTATTTCATTTTCAATAATAATAAAATTTTTTCTATTTTCTGGATCATCCGAATTCAATTTTGGTGAAGTTTGTGTGAGCGCATCTATCACAAAATTTTTAGCTGTACGGAAAAACCTCGATCAATTTATTATCGTTCAAATTGACTTAGGTCTTTTTTGCCTTCTTTAGGAAACTTTTTTTTCTAACAATATTTCATTTAGGTCGACTCAGCTGCATTAAAAATGATATCACAATTATCTCAAGCTATATCAGGAAAATCTCATGTACAATTTCCAATAATATTTGAACCAACACAAATTGGTCTTTATCAACTTTCATTATTATATATAATTAATAATTTTTATCAACATTATGTTAAAGTTATAATTGATGTTTGTTTACCAACTATACAATTATCAACAGACAAACTTCTTATACGTTCATTACCACATATTTTAGCTGAAGATTCATTTCGAAAAGTTGTTCATTTATATAATCCATTAAATGCACCGGCGAAATTTCGTTGGATACCAATTATTGGCTCAAAAGGAACAACATTTTCAATTCATCCAGCAACAGGTCCTTACGTTTTATTTTAATTATAACAAACAATAAAAAAAAGCTTCTTTTAGGAGCCATTGAACCATATCAAACTGTTGATAATGAGGTTATTTCGTATGGTAGCACACAAGCACTATTGGAAAACTTTTTTTTACTGTACATATTTTTTCGACAAATGGTTCGCGAACTAACCACCAGCAAATACAAATTCTTTAATGCCAAGTAATGAAGCAAAATTTAAAATCCCAGAAAAATGTATTCATTTTGGTTCGATACCAATAAATATAACATCAAAAAAATCGTTTGCTATCATTAATGAAGGAATAAATTATCTTTTTGGTCAAATATTAAATCATTTTATTTCATATTTTTCTTTTTTTTTTTGAATCAAAAGAAAAATTGTTTTATTATTTTTTTTTCGTGAAGATTACTGATTCAAGTCCATGTGTAGGTGTTGTTGTAAATTAAGTAACACCAATTGAATTAATAAAATTCGATATTAAATTTGGCTTAAGAGTTCTAGGAGAACATGAACAAGAAATTTATATGACAGGTGAAGTTATCGAACCAAATTTAAATATTCCTGAAAGTGAAATTAATTATGGTGATGTATCAATATTAATGAAAGCATCAAAACAATTTCATAGTGATAATAAGGTAGGAATAAAAAAAAACTTACGTTAAAAATTTATTTTGTTCTCTAAAGATTTCTTATTTTTTTACTAATTAAAAAAGAAGTTTCAACGAAATGAGATCCGACTTTTAAGTCTATAACTTTGTTCTTTTTGTTTTAATTAAATGAATTAATTAGCGGAAATATGTTTTTATTTTTATTCATAAAACAAAAATAAATTACAAAAAATAATATTTTAGCCCCTCTTTATGCGAAGACATTTATCTGGTCGCAAATGTTTTTTAACACAAATATTTGGATAACAACAACGTCCCATACCAAACTTACATGGGACACATTGACCTGGTGATTGTGCTGGATCATCACGACGTTCACGATGAAATATATCTCGTTTGAATATAAGATGATTGTCATCGATGAAATCGAGATCATTATTTTCCATATTCGATAAGACAACAGTTAAAAACAGACCAAGAAAGAAAGCAATAATTAATATACCTGTTAGCTTCATAGTTAAAAATGATAGAAACAATGTTAGGAAAAAACAAGCGAGTATTTATATCTATAGCCATCCAACGCTTGTCAATCAACACTTAGTAAATAGAAACATTTATTAAGTGATGATAGGGTAGATAAAGAGTCGAAAGAATCTTACGTCGAACAATATATAGATATATTTTTAGAAATATACACAAGTTGAATCAGTAGACTTGACGAATAATGGAGTATCTGCCTGTTGTTTGAGGTATTTACGTATATATATATATCAATCATCAGTAGTTTTTATGATAAGATAAGGTTAATATGCGATCGATTTATACAGATGTATTTTTAGTTAGCTTCGTAATATGGAAAGTTAGAAAGATAATATGCTTAGAAAACAGTTCGATCAAACAAATTATTATTGTTTTGATGATATGTTTCGTTTTATTTAACGAATAATAATATTTAATTGAAGATTACGAATGAAATTTAAGGACAAATTCAACTAGTTTGCTACATATGATTCTGTTCTTCTTTTTTTCTATCGATTATAATATTAATAACATGCGCAGAGGAGTATATACTTGAGAATATAGTCAGCTACTTTAATTTCGAATGTTTATGAATCGTGATAACTACTTGTCTTAAACTCAAGAATAAAACAGTCGTCGTTCCTCACAATTCCACAAAAGAAATCTATTAGTTATTATTGGGTGTAATCAAATCATCGCCATTGTTTTTTCTCTTCTTTGTACAACTCTTTTGGTTTCGGCAAATCTTGCTGAGTCTGTTGAACAACAACGTCGTGCTCTATCACGTTCAAATTTATTTCAATGCTCTAATCCATTCTGTGTTCCAATGTTATGCTTTGCTCCATGTATGTATGGCAGTCGACCTGAATCATGAGAATGTAGCACTTGCAATTGTCTTCCATGTGATGGAAATGTATGGTCATTGTCTTAATTTTGTATTTTCATTAAATAAATGAAAAATAAAGTTTAAAAGAAAATTAACATTGTTTTATTCTGTTTTAATTGCAATTGATAATATCTGCTGTGCTAATAGCATTCGAAAAAATATATGTATATTCGATATGCTTTATAACCTAGTTTTTTTATATTAAGTGTTTCTCTCCCTCTCTATATTTATATCACAGCTGATATGAGAATTTCAGTTGAGATTGGAATGTGCGAAAGAAAAAACAAAAGACAAAAAAAAAGTCTTTTTATTTTAAGAATTCAATAATAAATTAAAAAATTCTCATTTTAGTCGCCACGAATAAATGAGGGTATATTGAAAGTTTCATCTATAAAAATGTATGGAAACTTTGTAAATTCAATTGTGGATGTTACTGTTTTAATACATGAAAAACAGAAGTGAAGCAATAATGGAAAAATAAGATATTCATTTACTTTTTCTTTTTTGTATGAGTCATTACTATTCTTTTTCTTCAAGAAGAATAAAAAGAAATCTTATATCATTCAAAAAAATATATAATCAAAGGTTTAAAGACTTTAAATCAATTAGCTATTGGCAAATAAGATTGAAGTATAATTTATTCTATATGATTTATTATTATATTTTACTTCTCATTCTAATTTAATAAAAAAATTGTTCAATAAATTTATTTTTTTGAATAACTTTTGATAGAACCGCTGTAGAGAGCTGCGTTTTTCACCGTTGAAAAGAGGAGATGAAGACGCATCGAATCGTGTATTATAGGTTTCTCTAAGCTGTTTTTTAAAGTTTTCTTAATCAATTTTCTGAAAAAATAAAGGAAAATCGGTTTCTCTAAAAATACGAAAAACGCAAAAATATGACTTTTTTTTTACAGAAATTCATAGAAAAATTGGCTATGGGCTTCACATTAAATGCCTATAATTTCTGAACGAGTAAGCGGGTGTGTGGGTGTGGGTATGGGCGTGAAGAAATGAAACATGAAAACCCACACCCACATCCTTTTCCAGATAGACACTCGCTACCCTAAATCTTTATAACAATCAGATTGCAGCTCTCGAGGCGGAACTTCTCGCTGACGCATTACGAAATAACAGGGTGACCCTCATTCTCTCATCATCTATCTGGCAATCACGGGTACACTTTTTCATACAGACACTCAGCGCACTACATCTCCAATACAATGAAATCGAAGCTCTCGGAGCACATCATCTCGCTGATGCATTACGAAATAACGCGGTGAGGCTGAGTCTCTCGTCATCTATCTCATATGTACATCTATACTTTTTTCACATAGACACTCACAACACTCAATCTAGACAAGAATAAAATCGGAGCGCTTGGAGTACAACTTCTCGCTGATGCATTAGGAAATGCGATGGTGAGCCTCCTTCTGTGTGTATCTATCACATATCGACATCTACACTTTTTCACACAGGCATTCAGCGCACTACATCTCCAATACAATCAAATCGGAGACAAAGGAGCAGAGCATGTCGCTGATGCATTAGAAAATAACACGGTGTGCCTCATTTTCTCTTCATCTATCTTATATACCCAACTCTACTTTTTCATACAGACACTGGCCACACTTAATCTTCAATACAATGGAATTGGAGACAAAGGAGCACAACATCTCGCTGATGCATTACTGAATAATTTCTTGAGCCTCATCATTTCTTCATCTATCTAATGACCACATCTACAGTTTTGCACACAGACACTTAGATACTATATTTCGGAGACAATGAAATCGGACACATGTTGGATCGTGGTATAAAGGAACTGATGAAGGGAAGGATCGGGAGCTAAATAATGAAGGATGGATCGAAGCTTCATTTAATGAAGAAGAAAACTGAGTTTATTTGATGTGTGATTGATGACTGTTTTGTGGTAATTATCGTGGTGTGAAGACTGAAGAAAAAAATTTGTTTGAAATGTATTGGCTGTTGCTTAGAGTGTGTATTTGAAAGATGGCCGACCCGCGACAACAGTTTTTCTGTCCATTGCAGATCTGCATCAGGTGGAATCTTTATGTGATATCTAGATAGGAATGTAATTCATAATAATACAGATAAAGACATTTGAAGGGTGTGGGCTGTGAGTGTATGGATACCTTCAACCATAGCCATACACCCACACCCATTCAAATTTCATTGATAGTTTGGTGTCTAATCTATTTTTTGAAAAGTTATTCGATCATCGCATAAATCTTTATTGATTCAATCAATATTAATACAGTGCATGTACGCAATTAAATTAATTGTTAAAGATTCACCGAATTCGTCTCAAATATCAAGTGCAGTTGCAGCTCTATTTTGAATTTGTTGATGATTATGATGCAATTGACTATTATCCTTGGAACCTTTGATCCTACGAATATTTACTAGAGTCATTGTGAATTTTGTATAGATTATTTAAGTTTTATGAAAAAAAATTAATACTACAATTATGAAGATGAAAAGATTAATGAAAAAAAAGCAAATTCAACAATCATTGAGAAAAAAAGAAAAGAAAAAATAGACATATTGTGGTAAAACAAGGACTCAAATTTGATTGGTTCATTCGGCCTATGTGAAGTGTGTCATATTTCTTTGACTCACATGTTTGGTTCACTTCTTATGACCAAATCTACAAGCAAAAACTGCAATATTTGTTATTAGAGAAGTACGTTACATTTATGCATTTCGATTACATGATAGTGGTAAAATCTGATTTTTTATTGGTGCATGCATTTATTAAGTATGACACGCATATCGAGGTCATACCACATTATTTTTCTATTGCCGACAAGACCATACCTGAGATAGTTGTAAATATAGCTGATGATCGAGAGAGAATTAAGCAAATTAATCAGTAGTCATCATCAAAAATATATTGATAATGATCAATAGAGTTCTCTTAGTAATGAATTTTGCAAGGATTACTTGACAAATTCTTTCAAACTTCGATTATCTCATTTATTGAAATATGTATTTTCAAAGCCATAGCAAAAGAATAAAAACTATTTAAGATAAAACACGAAAATAATTATACATTTTTGATGAAATATTGATTTTCTTTGATACTCAAATATTTATAAGTTTGTACTGGATTTTACAATAGTATATATGATTTTTTTTTTCATATTAAGAATAAAGAAAAAAGAGTATTGAAAAGAATTCATGTGAAGCAAAACATAAAAAGAAAAGAAAATTGCAGCAACAGAATTCGAAGTATTCATTTTATTTTCAGAACAATTTATTTGACATTTTGTTTTATTTAGTATTTATTATAATGATAAGATTTAATCGTGCATCTGGTATTCTTGCCCATATTACTAGTCTTCCTGGACCAAATGGTATTGGTGATATGGGTAATCAAGCTTATAAATTTGTCGATTTTCTATATGAATGTTATCAAAAAGTTTGGCAGGTTAAAGAAAAAAAAAACATTAAAACTAGCAATGTATTCTATGTATTTTAATATATATATATAGATTCTTCCTATAACTGCTAGTGAAAAACCATCACCCTATTCTGGTACATCAGCATTTGCTGGTAATCCATTATTGATTAGTTTAGAAAAATTAGTTGATGATGGTCTACTTGTTCAATCGGATATTGAATTAAATCGACCAAAATTTGATGATCGAATTGAACATAATAAAGTATTGAAATGGAAATATAGTATATTAAAGCAAGCATATAATAATTATAAACAAAATCATTTAGAAAAATTTAAAAATGAAATTGATAAATTTGTTAAAAAAGAATATTATTGGCTTGATAATTATACACTTTATATGGCAATTAAAGATGAACAAAATAATCAATCATGGTCAAAATGGCCACAAGAATTAAAACGATATGATAGAAAAATTTTAGAACAAAAACGATATGAACATGCAGATATTATTCATCAACATGTATTTCTTCAATATGTGTTTTTTCGTCAATGGAATCAATTAAAACAGTATGCTAATCAACATGAAATTATAATTCTTGGTGGTAAAAAACAAAGAATTCTAAGAAAATTGTTAATTTTTGAAATATTAAAAACAGATTTATTAATTTCAAGATATGCCTGTTT